TGAGGGACGTGAGGGTATATTGGCAGATCCACATTACACCAGGGCCAGTGTTGTTGGCTGAGGACATTCACAATACACCAGGACCTATGTGTGCTTTGGTTGTAACTGTATCTCTGCTTTAGCTCTGGGAGAGCTACCATGTTCAGTGTTTACTTTGATGCTTGCCATATACAAAATGGTAAATGGTAAATGGCCTGTATTTGTATAGCGCCTTTACTAGTCCCACCTAGGGACCCCAAAGCGCTTTACACACCCAGTCATCCACCCATTCACACACACATTCACACACTGGTGGAGGCAAGCTACAGTTGTAGCCACAGCTGCCCTGGGGCAGACTGCAAACTACAACTACAAACTACAAGCTACTACAAACACTTGCTTGATTAATTTGCTGCTTAATTTAGAATTATATAACAAGGGGACAGACATGAAACTGCTTGTTAGTCAATTAATCCATTATTTTTGACCCTCTGAAAATATGGAATTTGTATATTACAAATATATATATTTAATTCCTTTACAGCTAATGCAACAAACCCTTAAAAACTCTTCATTTAAACATTGAAATTGTAATCCTGAACTTCAATGACATCTTAATTGTTTAATTAAAAATCGACTGTGTTGGACTAGAGAGGTAAACTACAAAAATTGTCTTTGAACAAAAAAACATGGAGCTGCTGTTTGTCATATAGTAAAAGTTTATACTATGAAAAGCAGCCGGTATTGAACACCATATTTCAAACAGGAAATGACACTTACCAAAAGTATTCTGCAAAAAACATGGAATAGAGTGGTATAATGGGAACAAAGGTCATCTAGAACATGGGTTTTAGATTACTAGGGAAGACTAGATTGGTCTTCCCATACTGAACTATATACCTTCTTTTACCGTCATTTATGTTGTTTCCTAACAGTCCAGACACTGAGCTTAACATATAGGTGTCAGTTGACACGTGATCAAGCTCCCTAAATAGGACATGCTGTGTCATATGTGGTTGGCCAGTCAAACACAGTCTTCTTTGAAAAGCAAAGTGAGGCTGAAGAATCTTTTCATTCAGCACCAGAGTCTGAACATGATGGCTTCTGCGCAGTTTGTCTTCTATTTGACATGTTTGTTCTTGGGGGAAATGGGTGAGTTTTTTAAAAGTGCAGTAAGAAACGTTTACCGTCCTTCCTTGTGTCTCAAATGTTCATTTACGTTCTTTCATTTTATTTCAGCTCACACAAATG